ATATTTGTTTTTTGAAGATGGATTGTGAGAAAGCAACTAAGAACGTTCTACCTACTCAAAAATCTTTTGTTCATTTCTTCCTTCCTTTGATATTGCTATCTTACCATTGATTGGTAAGAAGCCTTATCTTTGGATGTAAAGGGATGGACATGGGTCATCGTATAGTCATGAATAACAATATTGTGAGATATCTTAGAATTTCTCTTGAGGGGCTAAGATCATTTGAAGGCAATATTCGAAGCGTCATCGAGGGACTATGATCTTTGATTGTTTTTGCTAAGACGTCTCACATTCATACTATGACCATTTTCTCAAGGCAACGAGTGGAGGTAACCCTAGAGGTGCAAGGGTGCAAAGTGTTTGTTTTTCATGCTTGATTTATCTTGTACTAGTGTTTTCTAAGCATTGATTTTATCTTTCCATACAAACCCTAATTACTAGCATTTATATGAAAGTGATAAATTGTGGAAAGTAAACTTACTACGTTATTATATCATTTGGGGATGAGGTGTACAAATTTACAAATGGGAATTACAAGAAATTAAATCCTAATTATCTATTACAACCATATTGAACTTGAATAATGTACAAGAATTAAAATGTATATGATGTACAAGGATAGAAATGGAAAGGGAATGGATTTTGGTTTTTTAAAAATAAATATGAAAATAAAATATTTTTTGTGATATTTTTATATATTCATAAAATAGACATTGTAAATAAATAGTGTGCAAAAAATCAACTCAAAAGGAGTTGCTTTGATTGGTTGGAAAAATGTTGAAGTTTGTTAAAAAAGATGAAAACAAACAAGTGATAAAAATTTGTTTTGGTCCTGCCAAGATTTGAACCCAGGTTCTCCACACCTTCCATTCAAAACAGCCAACGCTCAATATGTTATAAATATGCATGTTAGTTTTTGAAAAAATGACAAAATAAATACAAAAGGTCTCACTGGGGCTTGAACCCAGGACCTTCTACATGGCAAGGCTTTAGCGCGCGCTGCTTGTACCACTGAGGTGGTCTGTTTCATCTGTTAGTTATCCAACTTGCACTAAATATAAAATGAACTCATTTATAAAAATTTGAACATGGCTTCATCTTCTTCCTTCGTGCGCGCAAGGATGTATATCACCATTGTTAAGCTTCTAAAAGCTTCATTTCTCAGCCAAATCAAAAAATGTAAATATCAAACATGCCTAAAATTTGAATACGAATCTAACCACATAATTTTCAATAGCTCTGAATCAAAGGTTAGCATGAATTTTTTTCAGTACCAAAACTAAAACCTAACTGATCAGATATGAAATTTCTAAAGACACAAGCAATGAGAATCAAAACTAAGAGCATGGTTAGCTTCCTAGATATGATATTTACATCTTTTCTTTTATTTGTATGTGCTAAAAATGCTTGTATCAAGATATCATAGTTAATAAATCTTACCTCTTGAAGTGCAATTCAAATTACCTTTATATGACTTCCAGAAATGACTTGATGATGGATTAAGCTTGCAGGGACCTTCCTTGAGCTAGTGGGATCACTACTTTGCTTTAAAAGTCACTGAATCGAAAGACTGGTATATGGAAGCTGGGAGTGAAGGATCACTACCTTCATTGAGAGGTTTTTTAAGGGATTTGGGAGTGAATCGAAAAGATCACTAACGCACGAAGGGATTTGAGATTTTTGTGTGTAAAGTCAGGATGTACCAAGTTTGTGCTTGTGTGCAGGTTCTGAGTTTTTGAGAGTTTGGGAGTATTTGAGGATTTTTTCAACATACAAGAATCTGAACCCTTTAACTTGCAAATGGCCTCTCTATTTATAGAGAAAATGTTTGGGAAGTTGAAGTAACTAAATTTTCCAAATAACAAATTATGGTTTGGTTGGAATGCAAATATCAAGTTATGTCAAGTTTTCAGTTTTCCATGATCACAAGATGAAGTACCAAAGCTACTGGTTTAGAGGGTTGCTTTCTATGATTTATGGTGGGGCAAAAATCAGAAGCAAACAAAGTATGGACTCAAGACAAACTTGTACCAAAAAGTTTGCTTTCCAAGAATAACAATGATAACTTTATGCCATAAATGTAAAGATCTTTTGGACAGAGGCTTAAACACTTGGGTAATAGCTCAAAAGTGGGTGTAAGGATTAAATTATGATGGGATTTGCAAGCAAGGAGGCATGCAACACAAGATTATGCAGTATAGCATATGGTTTTGTTATGTTCTTCAAAATTTTGTTCTTCAACTTGATTCCTTGAATCGAATACTCTGTCCTTTCGTTTGATCACATAGATCCAACCTTTGACCAAACTCATCAATAGAAAAAACAATACTTGTTTCCACCAATTGTGTGTTCTTCGAATGGGACCACTTACAACCTTCAACCAAATTCATCAACAGAAAAAACAATATTTATTTTCACCAATTGTGTGTTCTTCGAATGGACCACTTACAACCTTCGACCAAACTCATTATAGAAAAAACAATATTTATTTCTACCAATTGTGTGTTCTTCGAATGGACCACTTACAACCTTCGACCAAACTCATCAAAAGACAAAACAATATTTGTTTCCACCAATTGTGGTTCTTCGAATGGACCACTTACAAACTTCGACCAAACTCATCAACAAACAAAATAATATTTGTTTCCATCAATTGTGTGTTCTACGAATGGACCATATTTATTTGAATGTACCACTTTGAGTATGCAAGATGATCTCATTGGCATAGTCAAAACGAAAGAATTTCTAGATTGCTTTCCTACCAGTAACCATCAGTTGATTAAGTGGTCAAAATTCAAATGTCCAAACCTCAAATTGTAATTTATAGTGTGGAAACTATGTGTGTCGAAGAGTTTGGAGGTGGATCGAAGCAGGTTGCTCGAAGGAAGCCATTGTCCAGTCGTAGCTTGTGGATCGAAGGAAGCGTGAAGATAGACTTGTAATTCATAGTGTTAAAACCATGTGTTGTCGAATGATTTAATATGTGGATCAAAGCAGGTTTAGAGGTGGATCGAAGCAGGTTGCTCGAAGGAAACCATTGTCCAATCGAAGCTTGTGGATCGAAGCAAGCTTGCTCTCTTCGATTTGTCAAAATCTGCCCACCAACTCCTTTTCGATCAATCATGTGGTTCGAACAGTCTGAACCAGATTTTGAATTCGAACTGTTATCTCTGCAGCTGCACCTCTTTTGATCTGCTTTGCCCTTTCGACAATTTCCTCTTCCTCCTTTCTTCGACCTGATGCTTGAGAGTCCAATATGATCCATGGAAACTATATGGGGCATTAAAAGTCCAATTGTTCTTGTCCAAACCCAAACCTTAATTTGAGATCAGTGTTGAGGAAGTGTCTTGAGCTGATCAAACCTTTGCAATTTTGAGCAATGGAGATTTTTTGTGAGATAATCTTTGAGTAATTGAAGATGACAAATTTTGGGTACAACAAATATGAATCAATATTGGACCATGGATTGCTAAACAATTGAGTTTGAGACACCACTGACAAGGCAACTTGATCTCAGTTGAGAAACAATCAAGCTTTGGCGTCGCGTGACTAGGAGTTTCGCTCTTGGTTGAATCATTTAGTTGTGCCAAAAACCGAGTGGCGGAGCCAGAAATATTATAATGGCTGGGCGAAAAATTAAAGATCGCAAATTCACATTGTATATAATATATAAATACTCATCAATCAAAATACAGAGACTCGCCATTTTATCCATAAAATATAGTTTAAAATAAAGAGACAAATATAACCTTACAATAGCGGGTTAAATAAAATTACGAGGCAAATGTCCTTTCCGAGACTTTTTTGCGGTGAATGTTCGAATAATATCAATATCATTAAGTGATTTGAATATCTCCCGCTCAGTGTAACATACCATCAAGTCATTGAACCACACATCATTGATCTTATTGCGCAATTTAGACTTGATAATCTTCATTGCTGAAAAAGCCCTTTCAACGGATGCTGTCGACACCGACAGTATCAAAGCTAACTCAATAAGTTTATAAATCAATGGAAATACTAAGAGTTTTTGGGATCAAGACATGAAAAACAATTAAGGATAATGTTACTTTCTTCACAGTGGCGGAGTCAGAAAAATTATGAAACATGGGCAAGTTTTCACTGGCTCCACCACTGACTTCATAATTTTCTACCAAAACCGTATTTGACATAATTATTTTTGACGAATCGTAACAGATAATAATGGAGCTTGGGCTTTAGTATATCACAGACTATGCCTAAAACTACATACACTTACTATTAGGCTGAGATTAGTATACATTAGTAATTGTATCTTTGAAACAAAATACAGAGTTAATCAAATGCAGAATATAAGAAATAGAAAACCGATAACAGAAATTAGTATATGCTAGTATGTAGAATTCTGAATGCAGAAAACAATTAATAGTTAACTGGAACTCAAATGCACAATGCATAGATTAGTATATAGTAGTAACTTTGAAATAGAATGCAGAGTAATTCAAATGCATAAGCATGTATACTACAATGAAAATTAAACAATACAAAAGCTGAAATAATATACTGGTTTACAAGCACATTCAAATAAGTTGAAACAATACAATGAAAAAATATTCCATGACAAACTATAACAATAACAGAACAATAATATTGAAATAAGTTGCACACACTTAAACCTTTGATTTATTCACAAGAGAAAAATACACCAAACAATAAAAATCATTATTAACAAAATAAACCAAGATAATCTTGACACAGGAATGTCTAATTCATTTTTATTTAGTTCAATTAATTAAGCAAACACAACAAAGACGCCAGTCATTAATATTAATCATTAAACATTTCATCAAAGTTATATCTCTAAGAAAAGAAGGATCACAAGATAAGTACCATAGGCAACGAAGACTTCAACGAATTCGACGCTGACGATAGAACCTTTCTACACACACTTGACTTCTATTTTTCGTGTCTCTGGGTGTTACTAACTGAGATTTTTCACATATCCAGAATCTTCATTCATTTCAAATATCTAGAAGTACTCCCTGCATGTACAATAAGACATCAATAGAAGTAGAAGAGTCAAATTAATGGACACATATGTTTCACATTTAAACGGATAAATTTTACACATAATATTTATCATTAACTTAAATTGATAGTTTTTGTACATAAGGTTTTCCAGTAGTCCAATAGAAAAGTTGATATACTCTATGGATTGGATTCTAGGATGCCCAATAAGAAAAATATTCGTTCAGAAATTTTACCGAACACTTGGTGGACATAGCACGAAACAACAAATTCAACACCACAACCTGCAACAACAACAACAACAACAAATAACAAAACAACAACAATGATGTAGGAGATATGAATTGAAACAGAAGCAAGAAGAAGAAAGAATCGGCGGAGGAAGGTGATGCTCACCGATAATTGATTGAACGGAAACCGGAAAGGCAAGAGTGGTGTTGCGGTGTGTATCTGTTTACGGTATGGTGTGTCGGAAGATGGCCATAGAAGATCTCCATCGCGAGATAGTGAAGCATGGTCGGGCGGAGTCTGGACAGCTGCCCTACCTGGCCGGACGCTGACAACGCATGCATCCAAGATAGTGGCACATGGATAATCTACGCGTCAGAGATAAGGGCGTATGGATATTGCATGCGCCAGAGGATATGGCGTCTTAGTGCAATTATCAATGCATGCGTCAACACAAGTGACACCTCCTCTTCGGTGCTTTTTTGTTTGAAAGATATATATTTTAGTATATGATGGGGATGGTTGGTTATTGGAGTATTTTATTTGAATATATGGGTTTATTTTTTAAATTTTAAAAAAAAAATTTAAAGTAGAAAAACAAATTTTTCTTCAGCATGGATGGTTAAAGGGGCCATGGTGAAGGGTCCACGTCAAAATCCCCCGGGAATTGTTTGAGGTATTTTCCAAGCTATTCTCGTTGCATCTTGATTCTTGATTGAGAAAATTGAAACGAAAACATTGATATTTTAAGAACCACCTCACATATTCACATCACAATGCACACTGAATTCATACACTAGAATACCCATTCTATTGCTGTTTCTTCGATTCTATTTCAGTTCTAGATATTTTTCAACTTTTTCTTCAATTTATTACGAGTGTCTTGTTACTGTTCGATGAAATGCTTCAACGACCACCCTTCACTTTATCAGGTTAAACTTGTTGGATGGAGGTGATTCTAAAGGAGAAGGAGGCTGGTGATTGGGTTTACAGAGGCGAAGGAGCTGCTAATCTTGTTCTCTCTTACATTGGATCATCTCCTACATTTGTGCGTTCTTGTTCATCTTTCTTTTTCTTTGATTGATTAGGTTGTTTTTGGAATGTGAATTGTGGGGTTTCTTTTTTTTTTTTCAGATTGGGAAAGTGATGCGTATACGTAAAGCTTCAAGGAATGATTCACTGACTGAGATTTCAACCAGCCCTTCTGCTTTGACGGCTCAGGAGCGATACCTATGGAAAGATGTTGATGAACTCATTTCATCTCCTGATAATGAAATTGCAAGCCAGCTGTTTGTTCTTCATGTTATGAAGCCATTGCTTGGTTCCAAATTTGTTGATGCTGGTGTATGTATTCGCTTTCGATCACCCATGTTTTAGCTTACTATCTTTGTTATTTTATAATCATTCTTGAATTGTTCGGTCATCAATGCGTAATAATTTACTTTGTGTTTTATCTGATTGCCACCTACCCTTTTAATTTCTTGATAGATGCATGTCCAAGTCACGAGAGGATTTTTTGAATTGGTTGAAAAGAATGTTATTCTTCAACGTCCTGCTTGGAGAGTTGATACTGCCCAGGTCGACATGCGTTGTGATTATGTGCTTGTCATGTCAGATCATTCACTCTTCGACCATGGTATTGACATGTCTTTTCCTGGACTTGCGTAGCTTTTCTTGAATTTTCACACACAATGGGTTTTAAATCCTGGTTATCTGAAACTCTGCATTTGTTAAAGCTAGAAAGAAAGGTGGAACCCTTAAAGGGATTTCTGCTTCAGTTCAAATGATATTATCCCGGAATGTGCCTGTATAATTGTGGAATGTGGGGTTGCTTTCCTCCCTAGTTTACTTTCTTTTAACTGTTATATTTTAGTACCCTACCTTGCGTAGAAATCATCTTGAGTTGCTCCTAGGGCCGGATACAGGGTTTAAAAAAAAAAGAAGAAATTACACCTCTTGAGAAGTGATGGAAGGTAGTTTTAATCTTACTTACAGGACGCAATGATTGATCGGATTATTTTTCTCCCGTTGAGTTGGAATCCAAAAAACTGCAAACACTTAGTGGAGAAAAAGTAATGTATGCAGTTGCCAAAATTACTCTTCGCCAAAATGCAACATGCTATCAGTCATATTAGCATTATATCAAGATTCTTAACCTTACTCCAGCTAGAAAGCCCTAAGTTATGCCCCCCGTGTCTTTTCATTTTTTATACTGCTCCTTCTAATATGTAGGAAATACGTGAATTAAATTGTCTCTTGAATCCCTTCTCACATGTAGTAAAAATGCGTAACACATGCAAAACATTTGAAAGTTCTGTTCCAAGCTCCCTGTTTCTTTTCAGGTAACCTTGAATCTAGCCCTTGCATATCTGTTGAGATAAAGGTATGTTCTCAATAATGTCCTACTTTAAGCTTTAAAATTTTAAATGAATATAATTGTTTCCACTTACCCTCTTGTTTGCCTGCTTGTAACATCTTAAGTATTATTTTGAACAAGCAGCCCAAATGCGGATTTCTTCCTGTTTCAAGATTCGTATCTGAAGAAACTGCTATCAAAAAGAGGGTAACTCGCTTTGAAATGCACCAAGCCCTGAAGTTGAATCAAGGAGAGGTACTAACCACAGAATTTAACTTGACGGTGGTCCAGTTTCTACATAGTGCATACTTTTTGCTGCATACTTTTTCCTGTTGTCATATCATGTAGCCTTAGAATCCCATCCTTCTGTTCTGTTTGCCGATGTTATGACATTTTCACTTGAATATACACTATCCCTTTTAACCCTTGAATTTGAGATTTATACTTTTCCATTATCTTTGCAGATATCATTGCCAAGTGAATACAATCCACTTGATCTGTTCTCTGGATCCAAGGAAAGAATTCATAAAGCTATCAAGGATCTCTTTACTACGCCTCAAAACAATTTCCGTGTATTTATGAATGGGTCTCTCATATTTGGCGGACTAGGAGGTGGTGCAGAAGATACAAATTTGTGCATTGCAAAAGCATTTGAAGGTGCACTTAAGTCCATCGTTCAAGGTGATGATGGTTTATGTACCGAGAACTTCCTCACTCTTGTTGCCGAGGCTGCACATAATTCAGGAGTCCTTGATCGGCTCTTGGAGGTTCAAAAGCTTGATGATGTTGACATAGAGGGAGCTATACATGCTTATTATGATATTACTCACCAGCAGTGCATGGTTTGCACGGAATTGAATAAAGATCAAATGAAAACATATGCCCCTTTGCATTCAGCTTCATTGGATGAAAGCTTGAAAATTGTAAAGGACTACTTGATAGCAGCAACTTCAAAAGACTGCAGTCTGATGATATGTTTTAGACCAGGCAAAGAGGTGAATTTGGGGTCCGCATGGAATAATGTATATCTTGAGTCAACCAAGCAAACATTTGATTTCAAGGTAGGCACTGCTTTGCATTTTTAATATTTTGTTTAAATTTTTTGCTTTGGTAGGCAGTGCATAGGATGATTAATATGGTTCCACTTCTGTGGGGGGTAGATTTAGACTGCATTTTCCAAAAATGATGTTGATTTGCGAAGTCACTACTGTCCTTTAGGTGCTGTTGAAAAATCTGCTGTGAAAGGTCACTCAAAATTGTTTGATGAAAATGGTAAAATATTGTAATCTGTACTTCAGTATAAGAAAAACTTTGATATAGATCCTTGCAAACGGCATATATATATATATATATATATATATATATATATATATATATATATATATATATATATATATATATATATATATATCATAAATTCTTATTGATACAGTTTCAAAATAGAAAGCGAGAGCTGAGTAAACAGAGAAGGGAAAATAATAAGAAAATGATTGTAATGCTTTACTGGATCACTAACAGATAATTGTGATTTATGCTTTGAAGAAGCAATGATACCAAAAGCCATTGCTTTTCCAATTTCCAAATTAACCTAAAATTTTTAGGCTGACACACCCCTCTCCCTTTTCCTTTCACGTGCTTCACCTTGTCTACAAGTTTTTTATTACTCACAAATCACAATTTCATGGACACCCCCCAATTTAAATAATTCTGATTTATTGTCTCCTATAGCTATGGATATGAAAGCATTTGATATCATTTCTTTCTTAATTACTATGTGTTGTACCCCAAAATTTGCCCTCCCATATTCTTCAAAGTTTTGACAAGCATCATCTCAATTTGCTCAAGTCTACTCAAGGGTTGCACAGTTCAAATGCCTCCTAAGGCAGTCAAAATTAGGGTTTTGGTTCCTTCAATGAATTTGAGGCTTTCAGTGGTCCAATCAAGTCCCATGGGCCTATATACATTGTCAAGCATCTACATGCCAAGTTGCAAGACTCACAGCATCAAATTGTTGTTGGCTGAAGATTTTGATGATATTGTTCGAAGCGAAGCAAGTTGGATGTTTCGATTGGAATAAAGCAAGATGTCATGTTTCGAAATGGTAGAAGCAGTGCTTCGAATGGGCATATCAAAGCTTGGAGCTTCGAGTGACAGTTATGAGGATATCTTCAAAAGAAGTCTCGAAGTGGTAACAAGGCTGTGTCCAAGAAATGCGTTCGAAACGAAGAAGTGCCAAAACATTTGAAATTCAAATGCAAGCGGGATGTTCGAAATTTAAAATATATGCGCTAGAGCATTCGAAGACGCGTGGAAGCTAGAGAGAGGCATTGCTTTGCATGTTCTGAACGTGGCAGAATCTTATAGCAAGACCGTTATAGCAAGACCGTTTGGTCACTGTTAATTGCTGGCAAATCGTGAAATCATGAATGAATTGGGGCTTAGGGTTTATTGGAGTTAAGGGTTTCAGTTGTTTGCTTAAGCTTGTTGATATTCGATTTACCATCCATGGAAAAAAATCGTTTTTGAGAAAGAGGAAGAAGATGCAACAAAAAGGGTTTAGATTTGAGTTGTTGTGAGAGACAAAGAGAGATGAAGCATGAAACAAAGAGAAGAGGTGGAGTGTGAGATTAAAAAAAGAAAGTATCATTTTGTTTTAATTATGTTTTGTTTTGGAACAATAAATAAAAAAATCATTTCTTCTTCCCAATTAGGCTGGCCGCGACGCCTTTTCCTTGTCCCACTAGGGTTTACAAACTTTTTTTTATCTTCCTCTCTTGGGCCTCAACCCGGCCCAACTCTTTTTTCTATAAAAAAAACCATTTACTTTTTTCTTAATTTTTATACTAATGAAGGTATCAAAAATAAACAAATGACCAAATGATGCAGTGGTAGAGACAATGTTTGATCAACGCAAGGCCTCAGGTTCGGACCTCCCGGGAACATTTTCTTTTCTTTTTTTTTGTGTTTTCTATTTTCTTTATTTTGTTGGACAAGAGACAAACAAAAAAACTATCTTGAACCTACTGCTCTAGCCCATCCCCATTATTCTGTTTACACCCACTGTTAGTTAAGTTTAGTTTATTAAATTTTCCTAGTTTTCATTAATTTAGTTTAATTAATAATAATCAACTAAGCAATCTTTCTTTTCTTTAAATTAGACTAGTCTTAGAATTAGTTTAGTACCTTGTGAATATATATATACCAAAATATATTAGTATAGTTTCTAGTTATTATATTTAGTTTAGTTTAACTTTAGTAATTTAGAATATCAATTTAGTTTAGATTTATATTTAAAAAAACCAGTTAAATAAAATATAATTGTTAAATTAGTTAATTTTCTTAACTAGTTTAATTTAGGACTTTGTGAATAATTTTATTAATTAACATTTTATTGTTTAGTTAACTTTATTTTAAATTATTTAGTTTCTACATGATGAAAATTCTAAAAAATAA